TTGTGCCAGGGTCCCCCCTCCCCCCCCGCCAGTGCCTCAGGGGTCGCCTGCCAGGGCTCCCCACACGGCTCCTGGGAGAGGCAAGCCCTTTAAATAGAAGCAATTGAAAGGGCTCTCAGCTCTGGCCCCATGTTCTCCCGCTGCTTGGGAGCCAGGCACAAGTGAGTCAACTGCTTCTACTTAAAAGGCTCGCACTTTCCCTATGGCTGGCAGGCAACATCCCCAGGGAAGGTGCGAGCCCTTTAAATAGAAGCAGTTGAAAGGGCCCTTGGGTGTCCCAGGCAATGCACGAGCAGCAAGGCCAGGAGCAGCAAGCCCTTTAAATAGCAGGAAATGAAAGGGCTCGCAGCTCTCGTCTCCAGCTAACATGATGCCTAGGAGCTGCAGGGGAGGCACTAGCCATTTCAACACCTGCTATTTAAAGGCTCTGCCCCTTTCATCCAAGGCTCTGTCCCTTCCAGGACGTCCTGCAACTACTTCAAACATTTTTTAAGTGGCCCCTGGCTCAAATTATTGCCCATCCATACCTTACAGTCTAGTTCAACAGCTCTTGATGTCAATGACAAAATTGGGAAGCCAAGAGTTCAAAGTGCTAATCCAAGTAGCCGTCACACACTTTTGTCCCAAAAACCTTTAAAACATGCCTCTTGATATCCTGGAAAATCACACTAGCTTTTATAATATAATATCCTTGCTATAGCAGACCTCAGTACACAGAATCCTATGATTTAACCCCTAGAAACCATTCTTGCTGCCATTTTACCTTTCCTGCTCCCTTTAAAATTCCTTGCACTGCTATATTGTTCAGCCGCGATGAGCTCCAGTATGGGGAGCAGTTTCTAGTTGTCAGAAACGTACTACAGGAGGGTCATGCTCTGTGCATGACTCTCCCTCCCCCCCACTTCTCTCCAGCCTGTCTGTTTGCAGAGATAGGACTTTGTATAGACATAAATTTTAAAATGAATGTGTCAATTTACTGAGTAACAACCTTTTCCCAAAGAAAAATGGGAATCCTGGCTGGAAAACGGGTCAGAGGAAACAGGCCGTACAGAGTCACATCCAAGAAGCATTTTTGGACCAGCCTGCTGACAAGTGCTCTGCTGTCTCTAAGACCTGGTCCACACTTAAGCTTTAGGTCAACGTAACTGTCATTCAGGGGTGTGGAAACCATAAGTCACAGGCTGCGTCTAGAATGGCAAGATTTTGCGCAAAAGCCCCGCCTGTCTACACTGGCTGCGAGTATTTGTGCAAGAACACTGACTTTGTAATGTACAAAATCAGTGCTTCTTGTGCAAATACTCTGAAGCTCCCGTTCAGGCATAAGCCCTCTTGCGCAAGAATACTTGCGCAAGAGGGCCAGTGTAGACAGGAACGTTAATTTCTTGCGCAAGAAAGCCCGATGGCTAAAATGGACAATGAATTGAACCACTAATCCTTCTGCCTAACATGGCAGATAACAGGAAAGAGTCCCACATGGTAAGGTGGCAGCTGTGATACAACTTAGGTCATGTCTCTACTATGGGGACTACAGCAGCACAGCTAGGCATAACCCTGTAATGTTGATGCAGACTACAATGATGAAAGGGTTTTCCATTCCTCCCCAAGTGACAATCGCTAGGTCAATGGAAGCATTGTTCTGTGACTTAGCTGCATCTCCACTGGGGGTTAAGTTGGTGTAGCTACAGCACTTAGGCCTGTGGATTTTTCACATCTGGAGCTATGTTGACCTAAGTTTTGAGAATAGATCAGGCTCTAGTCTTTTAAGAGGAAGATGATAGAGCGGGGAATAGGAGTAGCCAACAGTGGCTGCCTCCCTGTGATCTCTTACAGCATTAGCACAAGTCACAACTTCGAGTTTAGTTTCTGGAGGATAGTTTTTAGGCTACATTTTACTTCCCTGCCCATGAATGGAGCAGCTAAGCAAAATTGCAATGCAAATACTACCCTTACTTGCTACTGAGGCAAAGCTCAGAACATCTCTATGGAGCCATCTAGTGGTGGATAGAAATTATGGCCTTTGAAGTTTAGTACATCAGTAAGGTAGCTGTATACATGTAAGTGGCAGCAGCAGGTACACTAGAATTGACATTCCTCTTATGATAAGAGAAAGCACAGAACATTCACAAACTCCTAAACTAGACTTCCTCCTTGGTCTGCAACATCTGTACCAACTGGTGGATTAAGTTCAACGTGTATATGACAGAGGGTTGTACCTGGGAGGCACTTGCTGATCTCCTGTAGGAACATGCGTGTGTGGGAACCAAAAGGCAACTGCACCACCAGCTGACCATCTTCTGAGCTTATCTGCACAGTCACATCAGAACCTACACATGGCAGGAAGAGGAAAAATTAATGCTCCTTAGTTTGGAAGAGACCTGATTTCTAAACACAACTTCACGTGCTGCATGCACACAAAAGCCATGTCAGCACTGGACATATCTCTGCATCCTCAATACTGAAAACAGTATAAAACCATGCTAGCTACAAGGAAAGAAATCAGCTGCATCACTGCTTTCATTTTCCTGAATTTGGATGAATTTTGTTTATATTTCTCTAGTCCTTTCAGCATAATGGATCCAAAAACATTTTATAAACTTAAACTAACTGAAAAATTAGACAAAGGAATCCAGTTGCATTTGAATTGTACTTAACACATTTGGGGAGGGACTTTTATAATTTAAATAAAAAATAACATATCTAGTTGAAACTCCAGTGAAAGCTAGGGCAATAGTCTGGGGTTATTTTGTTGTTTTTGTTTGATTTGGGTTTTTTTGCAACAATCTGGAATCATTCAGCCAAACAACTGGTTTGAAGTGGGACTCTTAAAAACCATACTGGTTAACTAGTAATAATGTGAAGATTTATAAGCTATTCAATAGTAGCAAGACAAGACTCCATCCTTGCATTAAGTGTGTCCGGTTCGGAACAGCTCAGCCACAGACATTCCATAAACAACCCTGGCCAAACATCACACACAAAAAAAGCTGAATAATGGTTCATACAGAGTCTGTAACTTGAGTATATGAGAATTTTTCTTGTACCTTGTGGTAATCATAGCAACAGAAGAGACTCACCAATGATATAACGGTCATTGTCAGGTGTAACTACCAAAAGAGAAAAGCAGTTCTATTAGAAAACCTGGCAAGTAGTGTAAGGCTAATACTTCATAAGTAACTCAGACAGCCCAATATAAAGGGATGCAGAAGAAATCAGAAAGGATAGAAGGCCATGAATAGAGCTTTGGGTAGAGGAGCTAATCTGGGTCCCCTGGGGTCCAATGCAGCCTGTTTTCTTGACAATGTTAATTAATTACATTGGCTTCAGCTGTTTCAAAGTTATAGCAAAACAAGGCAAAAGGTGATCGATTTCAGGCTGCAGCTCAACAAAAATCGAGATTCTGTTCCACACATAGATCCTCTCTTTGCCCACCCCCAAGAAAAGACGGCAACTGATTCATCTCTGAGGAGCAGAAGCAACCACCTTCCAGGAAGCGAGCGAAGGATGCAGACGACAGCTCTACCTTCTTCTACTGCAAATCCTTCTGTAATGGGCACGATTCTCTCCAGGCAGACATCCTCAGCAGTTATAGCCATTCGCCGATGAGTGTACAGGAAGAGCCTGCAGGCACAGAGCAGGGGGTAATGCCATCTCTGTGACAGCACCATCACTGAGCTCCCTGCAAGCATGGTTTTACACCATCCTGTCCCAATACCACACTCACTTGTTAGCATAGCCCCTGCACCTCCTGTCTTGCCCTATGCCTGCCAGTCCACCCAGTATGTGGTGATATTTTAAATTAATGTATTTCAGATCCCCATGAAAAGTACCAGAGAGAGCTTGAGTCTAGGCTCCTCTGATTACAGACCAAGCAGGTACAGAATAGGTAATGGCAAGCAAACATCCTTCCCACACTGCCTTGCTAAACCCCGATGTGGAGAAAGCATCTTTGGGTTGAGAGGGGAGGTCATGCAGTCTCCATGGCCCAGTCAATTCTGGGATTCTTTCTGCTCAGACTGCCAGCAAGAGAGCCCAGCCTTCCCCATATGAATGTCCCACAAGACATTGTCTCAAGCACCTACGCATGCTCTCCATGAGTCCGCACAAGGCCCAGAAGCCGGCTCTCCACACTCTCCTCACCTGCCAGGATACCTTGTACCACATGCAGCTCATAGTCAAGGAACGGCCAACAGAGATATCAGTCCTCTAGAGCAGCCAGAGAGGCAGGATGCTGAGCTCTGACTCTCTGAACCTGTCTTCTACTGCAGCAGCCACTGTCTGCTCAGCCTCTGGATTTCCTGTCAGGAGCCTTCATTTGCACCCAGAATCAGTTAGGAGCCAGGTGTTCAGCTTCCTTAAAGTACCATTTCAGCTCAACCCTGGATCCTACACACTGTCCTGGGTCCTTGCGTGTTGTCACTCACCTCTGTGAGAAAGACTGACTCTCTGAACCTGTCTTCTACTGCAGCAGCCACTGTCTGCTCAGCCTCTGGATTTCCTGTCAGGAGCCTTCATTTGCACCCAGAATCAGTTAGGAGCCAGGTGTTCAGCTTCCTTAAAGTACCATTTCAGCTCAACCCTGGATCCTACACACTGTCCTGGGTCCTTGCGTGTTGTCACTCACCTCTGTGAGAAAGACTGACTCTT